GTATACTAGGCTGTCTTGCACTTAAGATTTTCCGTTGGCTTTCGTTACGAACTCCCCATGCACTTCTCTTTCCTCTCAACACCGAACCATCTGTACAGATAATCAGATCACCTGGACGTGAATTGTCGTGAATCAACTGTTGGACTTCAACCTCCATAGCACCCGCTGGCCACTTTCTGCACACCAGGCCCAAAGTGATCATAACCCTACACAGATTGAACGTTTCCGCTGGTACTCTGAACCATTCCCTTTCTCGCTCAATGTTCTGCAGCATGTATACTTGTCTTATTGTGTCTTCTACTTGAGACATCCAAGATTTTCCCCTTTTCAGTCTCTGACCCTTGCATGCAGCCAAAGCTTCATACAGAGGGTGTTCTTTGTCTGCAGCTAATCTTAGCCTGCAGCACATTTAGCCTATCTGCAATAGTCAGCAATGCAAGGATGTATCGCATGCACACAATCGAGGTGTCTCTTGTACATCACAGAATCACCCACATAGCTTCATTCTGTACACGCTCCAGTTTCTCTAGCTGACTCTTCGAGACAGTGAGTAACCCTAGTCCATTATCATTCACTGAGATAATTAAGTGCTGGTAACGTGTGAACGGCATTCTCTGCTACATGTCCATCGCTGCCATAATCGTTAGTACATTTTGACCTTTTTTTAGCCTTACCCCCTCCATGTGATCCTTGAAAGACAAAATTATGTCAAAGGTGTCTCCCAGGTACCGCAGTCTGCTGTCTCTTTTGATGTCCCTGCCATTTATTTTGAGGCTTGGAACCTCATCTCAAACATTTCTGTTGTCCAAAGAACATCACAGGACGGTTGGCATTTCTGGGCTGATTACAGCACTCATCTCTGTACCCAGTCGATCACCTTATCTACTGTCGCCTGTAACTCTTCAGCTATTTGATTCCGACCTCTCCCCTTCCTATATTCGAGAACATCATCTGCTAATGTCAATTTTCTGCCAACACCAGGTATTTCCAGGTAGACAATCTAACTTGTAAAAACACTGAACAGTACAGGTGCAAATTGCAGATCAATGTGGTGGTCCTGGAGCTAATACGTGGCTCGGAGGTCCATGAGCCCAAGCGGAGAGTTACTCAGCGAGTTAAAAAAAAAAAAAAAAGAAAGCTGCAATCCAATTCACCAACCAAGAACAGGCTCCCTTCTACATAAGCGCTTCCATCCAGATACTGGATCTGACTCTGTTGTAAGCGTCTTCTAAATCGAGTACCACTGCCACCGTTTCCTGTCTGTTCTAGAAACTTTCGAAAGTATCAAAGGCGAAAATGGCTGCATTTGACAATGTGTCCTTCCCCGGCAAAAATTGTCCAATCCTCTTGGAAGGAAATTATGTTTCTTTTTGTTCCGAAAATTCTTGTAGCTTACCCGCCACTATCTTCTTAAGCACTTTACCAAAGGTGTTTTGTAGGGTTATGATCCTAAAGCCGCAAAGTGTTAAATGATTTTTTGCCAGACTTAGGAAGTGGAATCAGGTAGTTCTTCTGGGACTAAAGCTGTCCTAAGGCTCTGGTTGAAGCAAGCATTTATCACTAGGTCTCCATCACTTATGACTTTCATATAGGAATTTCTCACACCGTCGCACCCACTGCAGTGTCTTTCGCCCTTTTCAGAACATGTTTTACATCTTCCACCTGTATAATGTCTACATAATGTTTGTTCTTTAAAATAGCTACCAGATCGTTTATAACTCTGTCTCTGTTATCTATATCATTTTGGTCTGTCTGTGAAATGAACCTTTTCAGAAAAGCCTCCACCTTCTCTTTGTCTGTAGTTAATAGCATACTATCCTGTCTATGAATTGCTCCTACTACGCTGGACCGATCTTTCTTGAGCATCTGCCTATGTAGCTTCCAACACTTTCCCAATGTCTTATCGCTCCCAATCTCAGCAATATAATTCCCCCATTTTGCTTTTTGGGCCTCTACGGCACGGCGCTTGAAAAACTCTATCTTATCTTTCTTATCTCTTTCCGCACACTCCAGCTCATCCTGTGAGCTTAGGGCTGTCTATCGTACTTTCTTTACACGATTTACTGCAGCTCTCTTTAACTTTCATGCCTGTTCAACCTCTGATATCCATCATGAAGGCTGCACAAAAGTAGATCTGCCAGCCCTCTTACGATGCCCTCTGTAGGGGAAGTCCAAAAAGAGTGTTGGTCCGCTTATACTTGAAAGGCCTATGAGCTCTTGGAGCCTTGACTTTCCTTGATTTGGAGATCAATACCAAACATGGCAGATGGTCACTTCCATGATCGCCCAGGACAGTCCATTTGGTGTCCAGTACTGCTGACTGGGTAACCAGGGCCAGGTCAGGCAGGTTTGCATTGAGGTCAGTCAGGTCTGAATCGCCGGGCTTCTTCGCCATTCTAGTTTGCGTTCTATAATTTAAACTGAAAAGTTCTGAAACAACCATGGCGTCAGCAAGGGCAACTCCCTGTCGGTTTTCACCAGTACTGTCTTATTCATTTTCCGTGCATCGAAATCCCCACAAATGAGGAGCCTGTTGCCAGGAATTCCCCCCTTTTCTTTCAGCCAGTCCACTGTTGTTCTGTAACTAAAGAGCCCACAGCAGGATATACATTAATTATGTTCTATCGGAAGCCACCATTCTCCATCTGTATTCCCTGCACCTCTCTAGCATCATTATTCCAGAGACTCAGGTCAAGCACCACATGTTTCAAGCCCTACTTTCACTGCCAATGTCTCCCACAATGTCCAGCAGGGTTAACTAAGCTGGCATATCCAAGGCAATGATATTTATCTGCATTAAGCTCCTAAAGCATGATAAAATCAAAGTCGTAAATCAACCTCTCTAGTATGGGCCCTCTCTGTCTGGTACTACGAAAGTTCCTAAAGCACACTCTTACATAACTGAACCCCAGCCTTTCTGTTTTTCATCTAAATCTCCTGGCTCCTGCCCTTCTATGTCTCTGCTTTCTCCTCCTACCATTTCCTCGAAAGTAACCGGTCACTGTATTAGAGCCTGCCTGTTTTAGAAGAGGCGATGGATGTGCCTATGTAGTCCATACGCCTGGGGCCGCCCCTCCCGCTGACCAGACGCCCACGTTCACGACTACCTATACCACAGCCATTCAGCCTCTCATCACGTAGATCCACTTTAGGCTTGTTTTTTTTTTTTTTTATAGAAGTTATCTCCTCTAGATTCGTTATGGTTTGTCAAAGGACCGCGAGGTTAATAGGGTCACCGCTTGAAGGATGTACCTTTTCGGTCACACACAACGGTCTTTACTTGGAAAGGTTTACCAGGTCAGAGGACTTACCACATGAGTGCGCCTTTTTTACCCTTGGACTCAAAAGGGAAAAAAGCTGGCATGCTTCACTGCCTGAGATTCTTAGCCACTACAGCCCTGAGTCTCCATGACTCGACTCCAATCGGATTGGTGTTCCTGGAAACGATTAGCTAGATTCCTGCCAGTTTCCTCAATGTATGCTTTGTTGCATTTTATGCAGATTATGGCATAAATTACGCTGCCAGGTTCACGTGTAAAATGTTCCTTAATTTGGAAAGATCATAAGGGAAACTGACCCGAGAGGTCTAGATAACGAAACGACATGTCTTGCACGTTCTGCGGGAGCATTCAGTAGTCCCAAAAGGAAGTGCTGTGTGGATCGGTGGGAGTCGGCTTCTGACGAGTATGTCTTTAAGATTGCGGTCTCGTCTATAAACTAATCGTGGCTTCTTATTGAAGATCATCTCGGTTTTCGGATCAGATCGGAGGATGTCCAAGTAGCGAAAACATTCTTGGGAAACAACCACATTATTAAGGTGAAAAGTCTAAATCAATGTGGGTCCATCGCTGGTGGAATTACTTTTGGTGGGGAAACCATCTCTCCTGATGATTGTTAGAACTTTTTCAGAGCCTCTTGTGTGATGTGTTACGGATAGAAACGGGCACGGAAGAAATTAAGAAGTTCAACTGATTTATCAAAGAAGTCAGAATCACCAGAGCACAATCTGCGCAGTCAGAGGAGCTGTGAGTACGAAATATAACTTTTACACGGTAGTGGGTGAGAAGACGTATAGAGGAGATAACTGTGAGAATCCGTGGGTTTGTAGTAGGCTGTGGACTTCAGACACGGGAAATCGATGCTAACCTTGATGTCAAGAAAGTTTAGTGAAGTGGTGGAGATCAGTGAGGTAAATTTGATAGCCGTATTGAAATTGTTAAAGTAACTGATGAATTGGTCAAGCTCAACGTTGGAGATTTCGATGATACCAACGCCATCATCCATCGGGAAACTTGCCCGGATTCAAGATGTTTGATAATTTCTTTTTTTAAAATATATACTGTACTATCCAAGGGATGCCAGTTTGCAAGGAGAAAAGAACTGAAGTGTCATTGCACTGGATCAAATTTTTAATCTTGCATGTGTGTCGTGGACAGTAAATATATAAGCTGAAACATTTCAGTTGGTATAGGAAATATGTTTCCTGGAGGACATGCAAGGGATATAGTCAGAAAATAGTCGTGACAGTCGTCAAAGAAAGAAATTAACACAGTGAACTGGTTAGGTACATATTTATTACCTAGAATTTAAAAAAAAATTTAAAAAAAAAAATCAAACAAATTGAGCATGCTATAAAGAGAAATAGCCTTAAGGACTTTAGGCAATTTCACAAAATTAATGGAAACGAGCAACGAAAATTCAAAGTGATAAACAGAAAAATTGAATTAACCGCATTTCATCAGCAGTACAATAATACTCACCTCAGGAAAACTGTGATTACTGTGTAAGTTAGAAGTATACCTGTAGAAGATTCTCTGCGTGACACATGGTAGTGATTGTGCTTTTACTAGTTATTGTCTTCTTGAAAGGTTTGTCTTATTCTAAGTGGTCATTCGGTTTAAACATCATCTAACGACTGTTGTAATGTTTACTTTGTTTGCAGTTATTTTAACTCTGGCCACTTATTTTCTGTTTTCTATTTCAGTGAGTGTCGTAGTCGGATGTCTCACATTCCAAGTGCCCGGTCATCAAGCTGTGACTATTTCCACCATATTACAAACAAATGGTACAGAATACGTGTAGAGAGACCTCCAGAAGCTGAACCGCCCGGAAACGCAAAGACAGGCCAAATATATCTGTATAATAGAACAAGTCTGCTATGGGATTCGACTCCTATTGATTCAGTGCATGCTAAACTTTTATCAGTGGAAGCAGGAGAGAGGATATATTATCATGGCTCCAATGACTGTAATATTAAAAATATAATAGAAAATGGAATTGATCTGACTAGATCAACTCGACCGGTAGATTTCTCATGCGGCGGAGGTTTCTATGTTACCAGATTCCCTACAAAAGCTGTGGAATGGAGCAGGAGAGTAACCGGTTGGAAGGGAGGCATGCCGGCTGTCATTGCTTTTAAAATTAGCCAAACCTTGTACGAGGAGGAACCCCACCTTAAGCTGAGTGGGGAATCCACAACAAATGTGAAATTTTGGGAATGTATTGTGTCTCATTTTCGCCACGCAGAAAGATCAAGAGATGTGCACAATGCTCTGAAAGATGTAAAGTTTATCACTGGCTGGGTAGCTAATAATAAGTACCTTGGCGATGAAGAGACACCAAGGCGCTATCCTTTCACACAGTTGTGTGTTCGAGATCAAGACTATGCCCGTCGCTTTGGAAGTCTTGCGAATATTTCTTTTGTGTTGTTCCTTGTGGGAAATTAGAACTTAAAAATAATTGTCTTGCAACCATTACAGAAACTACAATTAGTAGCCATGGAAATGAGGTGTCTGAGAAAGACTGTAGGACTGACCAGAAGAGGTAATATCAGGAACAAGGTCAAACGATGTAAACTCGGCACAGAACCAATTCTAAATTACATACAAAAGACAGCAAATCAAATGGTTTGCCCACTTGGAGAGAATGTCTTCTGATGCTATACCATTCAATGCGTATACCAAAAGAAAAGAGGGACGTAGAGCAAGAGGTAGACCAAGAACAAGATAGGAAGATAACATCTAAGAAACTACAGCATCACAATGTGTCTATGGTCGAAGCAGCCAGAAGAGCACGAAACAGAACCTCATTTCTCCCCCTTAGGGGGACGTAAAGAAGAAGAAGACAAAGAAAAAGAAGAAGAAGAAGAAAAAAAGAAGAAGAAGAAGAAGAAGAAAGAAGAAGAAGAAGAAGAAGAAGAAGAAGAAGAAGAAGAAGAAGAAGAAGAAGAAGAAGAAGAAGAAGAAGAAGAAGAAGAAGAAGAAGAAGAAGAAGAAGAAGAAAGAAGAAGAAGAAGAAGAAGAAGAAGAAGAAGAAGAAGAAGAAGAAGAAGAAGAAGAAGAAGAAGAAGAAGAAGAAGAAGAAGAAGAAGAAGAGAAGAAGAAGAAGAAGAAGAAGAAGAAGAAGAAGAAGAAGAAGAAGAAGAAGAAGAAGAAGAAGAAGAAGAAGAAGAAGAAGAAGAAGAAGAAGAAGAAGAAGAAGAAGAACCACTCTAGTGCTGAATATTATGTTTGATAATATTTAATGATTTAAATAATCCAGATAATAAAATATCTAAATCTAAACATAGCTCTTCGAAGACAGGTCGCCAGTTAACCGGCATATGAAGTTGTCCCTATCAGACAGTCGCCAGTATACTGGTTTATAATAGAGACACTCTAAAGTTGTTCCGTTCGTGAGAAAAACAAACTTATATGAACATTTTTTTTTTGAAAAATTAGGATTAATACAGGATGTCCTTTTGGCTGCGATGTCTTGCGTGGCTTTTGCGTTACTTTGTGATTAAAAAAAAAATTACTTATTCGTGATACAATTTTTACGTGTTTTTTCTATACTAAATGACAAGGGAAAAGTCTAGAACAGTTCAAACTGCTCTGTCGTTAATGAATCTCTGCCAGATGGTGACAATATTCTTAATATTATGATTTTTATCTAAGTGACAAACCTATTGGCGATAATTTAGTTTGGGATATGAAAATTGAACAACATATTTCAACCGGAAAATCAGTTTCGATCAACAGGTTTCCCGATTTTCGGATGTTGTGAAATCTAACATGTCATTTAAAAAATGATCATAACATCCAAATTATTTAAGTTGTTTGTTTCAAAGACTGGCTGATACATAATCAAACAGAGAAGGCATGTACATTCTTAGAACTGGATAGCAGTGTAGTTGAACATGTAAAAATTTAAGGTAAACACACACTTTTTTATGTAAATAATATTTGCCTAACATCCTTGAATGCTGTGCGATTCTATTCTAATTTTGTTGTAATACTGACACTCACTTGAATAGTTAAGATTTATTCTGCACTTATTTTTTAAAATTATAAATATATATATTTATAGATCCCGCACAGTCAATACTTTTTTTTCATGATGTTTTAGCTTTGTCGTGTTGCAGTTTTAAAAAATTCGCTCAAAATTAATGCTGTCCAAACCCTAGAAAAAAATGTGATCTCGAAAGAGTTAAAATCACTCTTTTTGTTTTTCTAGGTTGGTAATTTCACATTTATAGTGTTCCAGATTACAAATCGCACAGTTTCATATATTAAAATCAAACGTTTCCAGTTTGATTAAAAAAAAAAAAAAAACACAAATTCCCATGTACATAATTGATTACATAAAAGAAGTACATTTCTTGTAACCCCGATTTTAAATTTAACATGTATGTATTGTGTAACAGACACATGACCTCAGTATATATGCCATTATTACTTTAACCCAAACATGGTTTAAAAACCACTTAGGACGTTATTTGAACCACATCCGCACCCTGCTGCCACCCTCGCCCATAAATCCCTAACAGCACCCTTCACCGCCACCACCACCATGCTCCAGCCTGTCCCCACCTCAAAAAAAAAAAAAAAAAGAACAGCAGAGCTCCAGACCAAGATAAAGTTCACACAGACCAGCGAAGGACAGACCAAACTGGCCGTAATGACCACTATAGTCATCATAGTGCTGGGTAAGAGAACCATTTCTAATTTCCGGAAAGCCAAGAACAAGCGTGATCGCCACGCTTTTTTAAAACACCAAGAACCTCAACTCTAGTGAGCGATATTCGAAAAAAAAAAAAAGACTGCACTAGATTTACAACTCTCACACGAAATCACGGTCACATCCAGTATCTATCACAGTGTTAGGCGCTGGATCATCAAGAACATCGACCCAAAGCTTGAAGGAATAGACCTTCAACGAGTGCCTGCTTGCCAAAAAAAGGTAAAAGGTTAAGTCTGGAGATTTGAACCAGCGTCATTGCACACGTTTATATACCACAAGTGCTCTGCCACCAGTACGGACAACTGATAAAAAACTGTCCGCCTGTGTCGCTGTCCGCACGTAACTCTGTAGCTACAACAACATACCTCCATTTACCTGAGAACACCCATTTGTAGGATGCAAGATGGAAAGACGAGGCATCCAGAAGCTCAGCTGTGCAAAAAACCTTACAAATCAGACACCAGGTCGCACAGCTTAGGCAAAAGGCTTCCACTCAGCAGAGGCCAACAAGGCGACAACAAACCAGATCCCTGCCAGCTGGGACGACGATGCATGGTCAGATCGAAACGCTAGCTGAAATGGTCGAGTCACTACGCGCCACCCAGACAGCTGAGGAGACACGCAGACAGGACTGACTGACTGACTTTCTACCACACTAGGACATCACACAAGCGATAAACACCCGATGACACAAAGTGCCACCATGTTGATAAGGATCGCCGTGGAGAGGTCCCAGAAACCTCGTTCAGACAATTGGCCATATTTATGGCCTGCCTATATTGCGGCCCCTGGCAAAAGCCAGGGTGGGACTTTAAATAACAAAAAGTTTCGTCCTAAAAGGGACGAAACTTGGATTAGACAATGCACGCACACAGGAGGAGAGAGAGGAGAGAAAAGGGGAGATGGCCGAGCTAAAATAGGTGCGAGAGACCGCCTACAGAGAAGTCACCTGACTAGTGCAGGCCAAAACAGAAGCAGAAGCGGCTGAGATAGCAGCCTGAACAGAGCGCGCCCTATTACAGAAAGAAAGAGAGGCAGACAGTATAACAGCAACCAAGTGTCAGCAGGGCGGACAAATACACCTACATAGACATTTTAGCGGAAAAAGCTGATAAAGGCACAGCCACTGAAGAAAGAGTAATGAAGCACCTGGTACAGCTGACAGAAGCCACCAAAAGCACAGACCAAAGCCCCGAGACACGCAAAGAAGACCACGTTTCTGTGGAACCAGAAGCGGCTACCGAAAGCCGGCTAATGGAGTCAGATGTGGAGGAAATTCGCCGACGACTGAACGATGAGATGTTTCCTCACAAGCTGGAGGTGAATTGTAACTGAATCTTCACATTGTATGACATGGAAGCGAGAAATAAGGGGAAGGTTAGCCTAACGCCGGAAAAATGCGAGACCAAAGGTTTTCGATATTTCCTTCTCAATAAAGAACTGAGAACAGAAGGAAACGACTGGTCGAGCAGGAAGCACAAGACAAGGCGCTAAGCCAAAACTACACGACGTTGCGGAGACCAAAACAAATCACCAAGAAGAAGCTACCACAGAAACTAGAAACCCCACCAACACAGCTAACGACACCCAGGCAGGAGAAGCCCATCACAGGAGACCTAACCCAACCCGTTCCTGGCCACCCCGGCGCAACTGACCGTTCTTTTCAGGGCGGTCTATCCACTCCCCAGATGCAGCCAATCAACAACCGCCAAACCCTACATGACAGACAGTAAAGGAGCCAGCTCGCCACGCGAGGGAACATAAAATGCCAGCACCAGACAAACAGGAGACCCTGTCAACCGTTCCAAGCCGACCCAGTCAAAACTGACAGTCCTTGTCAGGACACACTGCAGAAGACAACCAAACATAAAGTCTCCAATATGCGCCCAATCAGACCCCGCTGACATGTTGAAGCAAGGAAACAAAAATCAGGCGAAATTATTTTCAACACAAAGAAACTGAATACAAAACTAAGATAGCCAAGGACCAGTCCTTAAAAATCAGGCTTTCAGGGGGCTAAAAGAGAACTAAGCTTGAAATTGTTTATTTGTGTTTGTTTTCTACGATTACGATTACGACTAACACTGTTCCATTTATACTATCGTTTTCACAAACATTTCATAGTAAATATCTGTTCACTCTGTGAAATGCCTTTTCTTGATCTATAAAAGCGATGTTCATGTGGTGTCTGTGTTCAACTGTCTTTTCACTAATTTGCCTAATGGCAAAAATAGCGTAGTACACCCTCTTCCCTTCCTAAATCCGACCTATTCGACTATTTTAACACGTACTATTTACAAAGACAACAGTGGTACACTGTAGTCAGCCAGAATTTAATTTTTTTCCCTACCATATCTCAATTAGTTGGCCTTAAATACTGATAGAAAAATCCCCAGAATTTGTATAGCACATCTGTCTTCTGTGTGTACGTTATGTCACACCTAGGTTTGTCCTTTGTTTGCTGTAGAAGAAATCAACTGAAGAATTTAAACGAGGAGAAAGATGGTCGTGTTGATAGTAGTGATGATGATTGTTTCTCATGCTTGCTACATGATTCTCGCGTCACTGATTCTTGTAGAATAAAATGTCTTGAAACAACTCTTCTTTTCTGCACTTTCTTTATTGGTAAACCTCACAAATAACATCAATGCTATTCTGAATAGCCGCTGTTTTAGCTCTATGGTTACATATTCTTGAAATCGCGTTGTGTTCTTTATCTCTGTAA